TCTCTTCATTATTACATCCCTTTCTCCTGCTGCCTGAACTATGATTTTTCCTGTGGGCTTGTGGATACCCTTTCAAGGTCAACACAGCAGAAACAGCAGTGATAATTTCATCTCCCAGATCCTACACACAGTTTATTCTTCTCATTGCTTCCGCTCTTATCACCTCCATCTCTCACCCAAGCCCACAGTTCTCATCACTCTCTTTGACTCACAACACTCCCAACATTGTGATATTCAACCTGTGTTTAAGTCCTGTACATCCTTGTTCTCCATAACACAATGAGCATCCTCTGCTCATCCACACAACTAAGTCCTTATCAAGCTCTCCCTACCTCACCTTTCATTTACCATTTAAACCTTTCCCCTGGTAACAGCAGATGTAACTGTGTCCTTGTGCCAAGGAAAAGCTGCTGCAAGATCATATTCCTAGTCTGTGGCTTTGCTTGCTACACACCTTCCCACTTCCCAAATGCCAAACCATCACTCTTCATGTTTTGACTCTTTCACAGCTTACCTCTTCTTCCCAACACTGACATTCAGCACTGCTGTAAACTTTCATCTCTCACTAGTCTGACTCGATCACCCCCTTGTTAAACTCTTAAATAAGCACCTCCTTACCACTAACCACTGCGCCTTTTGCTGCAGGGAACAACTTCCCACTCACAGCCATAAAGCCCCCTGACTTGCCCTCTCAAACACCTCCTAACACCTTAACACCTACAGATCCCCCCTGCTGCTCCTCCCTGCCCTCCATCCAGGGCTGATCTGCTCCTGCTCTTGTGCTGCTGACACTTGCAGGCACCTAGTGGGACTCAGAAATTAACCCAGCAAACTCCAGCGTGGCAAGGCTGATTCACACTGCCAGGGGCAGGGCCTAATAAACTCCCTGGGCTGCTGCAGAGAGTCCTGTGAAGGCCCTGTTTTAGAAACCTGACTTCAAAACTTTTTGTTTCTACCTTGGATGTAACTTCGCCTGTCTCAGAGGTTGCTTACTGCAGCTAAAACACAAAGCACGAAACCAATACACAGCAAATGCTGATTCAACTTGGAAACACAGTTCCATTTTTTGTGCACCTTCCTTGGCACCGCGTTAAATGAAGAATGCTTGATACCTGGCCCCTGATTTGGAGAGCTCGCCTACACTGCAGGGCCATGTAATTAGGCTGATAAGCCACAGTTCTGCACACAGCAGACAGAAATCCAGGACTGAAAGAAGATGAACATGGAATTACTTCTAAAGAAAGAAACAGGCTTCTTTTTTTCTTTTCTTTTTTTTTTTTTTTAAATGCAATCTTGAACACTGTTATTAAAAAAATGAGAGCAACATTTTGGAGTAACGAGCAGAGATTACTCATTCCCTTGTTTTACACAAGTTGACTTTTGGCTTTCTGCAGAACACCATTTAACAGAGCACATTACCAAGCTGCTAGCCACTTTTCACAGTGATGCTAAAGCAGGTAAGAGACAATAAGTGGAACTGTTGATGGTTTATATTACTCTATTATGTTAATGTTCACTAAAGTATGCCATAAGCTCTCTCATTACATGTGTATAAACCAATTCTCTGTGGTGTTATTCCTGTGCTAAATGCTATAACTACATAAATCTTGAATTAATGGAGACTTTATAGTTCCTGAAAATGAAGGGTAATTGCTATCTGTTAATGCTGTTGTTGCTATTAAAGGAAGTATATATTTTCAGTAACAATGTTTATGGACCGTGAGCTCCACGTCGCAGCTATTGCACAGAGCAGAGACAGTGCAATACAACCATCAGACTGACTCCCTTCCTCTTCCTTCACAAAAAGCACAGTATCATTTTCACAGCTTCGACAAACCACCCTGCAACCCTCCTAAAACAGCTGCAGAGTGCAGCCCAGTGTCCTTCACTGAACACCCAGAACCAGGATTTGCATTTCCATCTCTGAAAACGCATGACTTGCTGAGCTTCTCGCTTGGTTAGATGGCTGGACAGCTCACTTTATTAGCCTGGCTATCTCACACAGTGCTCTGAGAAGTGCGTGGTGACAGAATGATAGGTGTGAGAAAGTATCATCCCACTTACTTCCTCTGAGATTTCAGCAGTGATGCAGAAGTGAAAGGCTATACTTGGCCAGAGACAGTTCTCAGAAAGTAGATGGGATAGACAAGTCCCCAGCCTTGAGCTCCTCTTCTCTGATTACTAAAAACAGCAGTGCACCGGTTGGAAAGGCTCTCACAATCTGCTGTGGAACCGTACCTTGCGCTCCAGCAATGGCTCCTCGGTTCTGAGACACTGCAAGTGTGACTGACTATGCTCAATCACTTTTCTCCCCCGGAGTCCTGCACAACACTGCACGAGACAAAAACCCAAAACCATAAGGAGTGTGTTTATATCTTACAATGCAGCGAGGGTAAAACCTTAATTTTACCCAAATGCCTATGTTTGAAAACATTAAGAGCTCAATAGCCCATATACCTACGAACTAAATAAATAGTGGATAATTACTAGCATGGTACAGAGAGAGAGGTAGGGGGTGGAAAATTTCAGTTTTGCTTCTAGCTCTGTCACTGACTCAGTTTGTACTTGCAGATGAACTTCTTTCTTTGCTTTCCTCGTGAGTTGCATGCGGACAACACTGATCCGCTGTTTATGACTAACCAAAAAATGTTATGCAAATCAGAAGCACATTAGTAATTCCTGCCCTGCCCTTCATTAGTGCCAGCGTGTGTGGGTGTACCCAGGAAAAGCTGCTCCTTGCTGACCAAGCAGGAAAGCAGGATTGTTGTGTAGCGCTGGCAAACGAGGCCGGCCCATCACGTAATTCGGGAAGCTCTGATGGTGGGCTGGGCAGGATGGTGGATTCTCCACCTGGCTGCAATAGCCAGGGAATGTTATTAGGAGATACATTTTGCCAGCACATGGAAGGGGGAAAATGAGTGTCATCCCTCAGGACATCCACACCAATGTTTTTATAGCTCCTTGTTGCATCAGCCAGGTTAAGTTTTAGACGAACACTGGATGAGTTTCCAGAGGAGTGTAGTATGCCAGGTATCAACACAGCAAGAGAGCCTGCCCTTCTGCTCCCCGAGTGGAAGGCAATGTTGCACTTACATTACCCCTACGAAAGGTTTGAAGCATCTTCACTTCAACCCTGCTGAGTTTACGTGCATGTGACCACATCTTCACTGACAAGAAAAGAAACCCCACTTAATTCCAGAGACCTACTTAATAGAACTGTGTCACGTCTCATGTCTCTACAGATCAGGCAAGAGACAGAAAGATGATGATCTTGTGCTGCTCTCCTTATGAAGAAGAGAAATGTTGTTATTAAGGCGGAGTCACCTTAAGGAGAAGGTAGCTGGGAAAATACGTGTGCCTAGAAGGTCAAATTACAGTTCCAGATACGTAAAGAAATGCCACATTAATGGTGAGGAACACTGCAACAGCCTTTCATTTGCTGTAAAGGACAGCAAGTTACCAGCCAAACACAATGCAGCTTCCTCTGAAGGTAACCTCAGATCCCACATTCTGAAAGCTAATCAATGTTGTTCAGATTTCAATTTCTTCTCTACAAGGTGAAGTCAAACCTAATCTAACAAACGTCAGTCTCAGATGTAATGCCGCTAGCTGGGTCTACCAGTGTAATTTAGATAATCATTAATAGCATAGCTGTATAATAAAACTACATGTCACTTACAACTTCATCTGAGGTTTGACTGGCAGATCTTTAAACAGTTTTCTAAGTGATTGCTTTTACTTTCTTTGATTGGGCAGTCTAAGAAATGTTTTAACCCCATGGTATCTAAGCTTTTAGGGAATAGTTTCTTACCCTCACCACCCCTGCTTGTCAGCTCTGCTGCTGTGTAACCTTGTAAGAAACAGGACTTGGGGGAGGGGGTGGTTTCAGGGAGTGACTTTTTACATATATACACAAAATTAAACCAGAGTAATATAAAATAAAAAATGTGCAGTATCTTTCATTCAACACATATATTTAAATGTTTCTCTTCAGTCAAGCCTTCATCTCAAAACACAGCTTTTGCCACGTTCCAGGGATATTTAGTATACAATGGGATTTTTAACAGAAGAAGTCGACAAAACCTTAATGCTTCTAAAGGTCCAACAACACTAACAGAAAGACTCAAGCAGAGGAGGCTTCTGGTGTAGCCTCTTGAACTCAAGGTAACCTCTGAGGCACGGCTGCAGCCAGGTGTGCTGCTGAGGAGACAGGGCTGGCTGAAGTCAGCCTTCACTTCTGCAATGCTGATGCAGGAGAAGCCTCCATGCCACAGCTTCTCATGAATGAATGCAAGAGCTTGGACAGCCAAAATATAATAAAGGTTTGATGAAGACCTAACCTGAGACTGCCAAGTCTGATCTGCCAGAAGAGAAGCCAGCAAGGAATACTCAAGCCTTTTACACATTTGATGCTTAAAACCACGGTGCAACTGGTGCCACGCAGTGGGACTTCCGTGTTTTCCTTGCAGAGGTGAATCAAGAAATCCCCCCGCACAAACACAAGACTACAACCTTTCACTGACCAACCTCTGTATTCAAAAGAAGGTCAGAAAAACCATTGCTCTGCGATAAATATGCATGCAACATGACAAAACACTCCTTGACAGTTCCCACGCTGCCTTTGAGGGCAGGTGCCACTTGTCCCACCTTCTAAACTGATTACAAAATTGACGTCTTCAGAGGTTACTCTAAATAAAACATGGGCTCCTGACAAGTTACCAGAGGAAAACTTCCTCTGAAACAGCACTAACATTGTGACTCAAGACTCAGCAAATGCTCATATGATAATCAAGAAAGGCTATTCTGCTGGTGGGGGTTTCTTTCCTGTAAACAGAAGCTAGTGAAGATCAGCGAGTACCTGCTCCGATGTTTTCTCATTCAATTATAGATATTTTTAGATTTGGCATGAAGACTGGAGGAAAAATGTCATTTTCAAATTCATTCTTATTTTGGCTATCAGGGAGTTTCCAAGCATATGAAAGAAGAAAATTCAGTCTTACCTTATCGTCTATATCGCTCTCGCTGTCACACTGTGGATTAGAGAGAGAAAAAAAAAAGATGTTGAGAAACACCTTTATGTACAGGGATCTTTTGCATCATCCTCTTAAATCTTCAGGATAGCTGTTGATGATGTTCACAGTTCAATGAAACACACTTCTGATATTTGCAGTAACGCCTTTTACATTGCTGGCATAAACCAGACAAAGCCAGATTCCCTCTTATACAAATTTATGGTGTACTCTTACTTGGATGGGAGAAAGTGAGCTTTAAACAAAAAAGACAATCAGTGATGCATCATAACAACCACCGTAACATGAACACCACAACAGAAAGCATGCCACTTTATCATCCCAAATTGTGGAATATATAGTAACAGTTTTGCATTGCTTCACCTTGATAAGCACTTTGTCATCTAACAAGGAAACTGTGAAACTGGCAATCAATTTCTAATTTAATGAGTGGTACCAAGAATAGTAATTAAAATACATCATAAATTCTGGTACATTTTTTAGTTTGAATGAGATCACGATCCCAGGAGGAAGTGTTTACTTAGAGAGTTTTGGAGTGCAATCTCTTACAGGCTCTGAAAAAGAAATGCTCTATTTTCACAGCTCAAATGATGGAGAGATAACTTGAGCACTGAACATTTCAGGACATGCACATCTTACTGGCTGGAGCTCAGAAAGATTTACAGTTGGGAACACAAATAAATCTCTTGGTGCCTGTTAGGCTGACAGAAAAGTGGCCAGAGTGTTTTGTAGCCTTGGTGCCCAACAGGAATTGTCTCCTTCAGCTGATGGGCATGGCCTGGGTGGGTGTTCATGACTGGCAGCACTCTCCTAAGTTCACTGGGTCAACATGAGGGAACTCTGCAAGCCAGCAGGGAGGAGCTCTGAAGGTGGAAATGGTCCATGAGAATGCACATGCTTTGGTGTCATGAATGTAAAAGAAGAAATAGATCTGTTTGGTCATTTTGTCCAGACCTTCCTCAGGGAGCAGGGAGGGGAAATCTTTCCTGTCACATCCTTTTATCCTAAAGTCACACGACAGAAATCTCAGCTGTTACACTGTCAGTTTTCTGCTGATTTTTGAGAGAATACTTAATCTCTACTTCTTTCATTTGGCACCTGAAATGACTGACCCCAAATACTTGAGGAACCTTTTACTCTCTGAAACGCAAGAGCCTCGATACAGCAGAGGGGTCTCCCACAGTGACTTTCCAGTGAAGACTGCTCAGCTGCCTCCTTATTCCCATTTAATTGCTGTGAAAATCCTTGATTTAAAGAACTTGTTTTTCTATAGTCTTGACTAAGTAGAATTATTTTTCTTTCAAAATGAAACTGTTTTACACCACCCCACCTGACCCACAGCACGTTTTTCACAGGGCAATCTAACTGTTTGGTAGGATTTGCACGGATCTAATTGTATATATAACCATTCTGGGGGAAAAAAGAACCCAAAGAAAAATGGAAGAATTGACAGGAAGGCAGGACACTGCTCTGTAGGGGCCAGGAGCTGTGGGTGGGCAAGTCCTGTGGGAATACTCAGTGTTAATGCCAGCAAACAAGAACATCAGCTAGCCATGTCTTCAGTAAATACCTTCCCATAAGCCATTTGTGCCTTTTTTGGGGGACTTTCATTCTGCCACTAAACTTTATGAAAATTATTATAAGGAAACACAGTTTCTGTTTTTCATGAACCAAATGTGAAATCAGTCCTGGTAAATCATCATCTGCTGACTTCCCCAAACCCGTGTCACACAGCCACCAACAATTAGAGGTCTCTGCCCTGGGCTTGGAACGGGACTAATTGTCCGTCACAGTGAGACATGCTGGGACAGGTTTGCTGGGCAAAGGCTGCCCCAGTACCTGCTGCATTTGTGCTTGCTCAAGACAGCGATAATTCACGCTGACAAAGCAACACATTCATCACAACCAAGGTGGGGGGTGGGGGAAGATGCAGTCACAGCAGTCCACTTCTTATTTACAGGCTCCTGAGAAGCACTGGCTGACTCGAGGGGAGCCTTTCACCTCCACCCTGAGGGGCCCAAATGAAGCTGTAACGCCACAGGGACTGTGCAGCCCCCCCAAACTACCACCACAGCAGAGTGGGTCACAAAGACCTCCTATTTTACCCTCCAAACCTGGTCTATGCAAAAGCATCCCAAGTCACAGTTTCAGTCACTGTGCTCATTCAATGCCCACACTCATATTTTAGAGGCAGAGTGTTCTGATGACGTGATTCAACCTGCGTGGTTCGGACTAAAGCACGCCACAGTGGAATTATACCTATCCTAAGGATGGCATAAAAATAAGTTACCACACTCAGCCAAGAGTTCCTTAAAATTGCATGCTCAGGCAATGTCAATACAAATTTTAATTCTTACAGGGACTTGAAGAATGAGACACTGACGTAAAATAACCAAATAAATCTCTTGACTAGAAAACATTCAAAATTTTCATGAAAACTCAGACACTTTTGCCTATGAATCCTGGTTTAATAAAACCTCAGTATTGTGAACACTGATAAATTTAGCCTAAAAATATTTTGAGAGTAGATGTAAACAATTTTTTTAAAACTTCAGTAACCATTATTATTAAATACAAGTTTGTGTTTTAGCCCTCCTCTCTGTTTTTTAACAAACCCTGTCTTCCTATTTCTTACTGCATTATGATGTTTAAAAGAAAAAAGAAAGAGGACAGGCTTTTTATTGTTGAAAACAGATTTGACCTCCAAAATTTAAATGCCTATAAAGAGCACAAAACCCTATTACAGAAGGTTTGCATTACTAAAAGGTGCAGAATTGCTTTGTTTAGATGCCTAATTTTGATTTGTACCAATATGCAACTTTGTCTCATGCAGATAAGTGAAAGTTGCAAAAAGCCAGTGAACCATCAAATCCACATGCTAAATTTTATAAACAGACACACGAACGAAGCAAACATCTGCTCTCTGAGGATACATTTTCCCCTCCATTCAGGATCTGTAAAGACTTCATAATTAATTGCTTTTAAAATGGAAGAGACAGCATAGAGTTTTGTTTCACTTTAGCTTACATCCTCCCTACTTTAATCATGATTGCATCAGTCTCGCGACTGCAGGAGCCAGCGGGGCTGCGGATCCACACGAGAACACGGACACGGAGCCCTCCACGCAGCTGGGACTGCGAGGGGGGTGCTTCAAACACCGCCTGTGTGACAGCCAGCTGCCTCACTTCTTGTTCGCCTGATGAAAGCAATTTTCCTCTCCCACCTCTCCAGCCGTGCAGGGTCACTCACCCACACAAACCGTCCCTACATCGATTCCCACCGTGTGGCCTTAAACCACCACATCGTGGCCCACATCAGAACCGAGTCCCAAACTGGCCCGAAGCTGCTAAGCAGCCTGTGTGATGAGAGATCGTGGGGGAAGAATTAACCCACTGATATTTATAAAATCTGGACTTCTGCTTAACGTACATGAAAACGGAAAGCTCGAGATCCATGGCTATACCAACCCACCGACTCCCAAAGACGATACAGCCAAGTTCTGGTGGAAAAGGCCCCACGATTCGGAATTCCCTCAGGTTCTCTTCTTTTTTACGATAAAGAAAGTCTCCCACGTTCGCACCGAGAAACAGGAACCCACAGGCTGCTGAACAAGCAGCAGCACCGAGAAACCGACGGCAGCAAAACCAAACCTGGCCTGACAGACCCGCGAAAAGCAGAACCACCGCTGACCCCTTCCCGTCCCTCTGCTGGGCGTGAGGGCGAGCCAAACCCCACGGCTGCAGTGGGCTGGGTGGGCTCTGAGGTGTCAGCCTTCAGCCTCCCCTGATGCTGAAATGAATAATCGAGTCACGGGAGAAACTTCGGTTTGTCCACAGAGGGTTTTCTGTGTCTTAAAAGCCAACTTGTGAGGAGGAGGAGGAGGAGGAGGAGGAGGCCGAGGCGCTTGCTGAGAAGGCCGAAGGGCCGAGGCCACCACCGGGCAGGGCTCACCTCCCACGCAGCTGTTGTTGAGGGACAAAAAGCCCTTGTCAAAACAACAACAAAAAAAAAAAAAGTTAAAGAAATTGTGGAGAATGGCAACTGTTGAAAGCAACGGGGGCTCATTGAGAGACAAAAGCTTCAATTACCTGGATTTTTCTAAAGGCCTGTTAACACTCCTGGTCTATAAGCGGGACTGTAAACACGCATTGTGCTGGGTTCATAAAGGCTCCTAAAGGGATTATTCACTGGGTTGTGCCAATTGCCTCTCAATTCCACCAAGAATGTTTGCAAAGCCGACCCCTAATTGTGCTCCTTTTTGGAAACAATTTCTTGCAGTGACAGATTCCAGTCAGAGGGAAGCCTCCCATGAGGTTGGTCGGGCAGAAACAGCACATAACTCAGGTGGAATTGGCTCCGTCCTCCTCCTTGCTCTGCCCTGCGTAGGAGGATGACACAACTCCTGCAGAGAGTGACCCAGCACCAAAAAGCCTCTGCTGAACTTCCATGGGCTCACCAGGGCGGGACACAATCCGGGGTCTGGATTGTGCTCCAGGCTGAGGGTTCGGGCTCTGCACCACAGAGCAGTAAGAAAATCTGGTGCTTTCCTAATCTTCACCTCAGCAACTGCAGCAACTCCACCATCTCCTCCATTCCACCTGTTCCCTTACTGCTTTCTAAAGAGACCTGAGGAACTGCAGGCAGAGCTCCCATAGGTGTAACCCACACCCTGTGGCTTCTCTTTTTTTGATGCTGAGGTGGAATCTCATTTTTCGAGACCCCCCTTCTCTGTCATGGCTTTCCCACCAGGCAAGAAGCTCTGATGCATTCCATCACCTTCTTATACAAACCATCTCAACAGGGGCAAAGATGGATTTATGGCTACTGGTAAACAGGCAACAGCCTATTTGGCAAAGGACCTTCTCTTACCATTACACTGGCCCCGGGCTCCTTGCAAGCTGTTTTAAAATTGTTTGTACTGTGGTTCTGGTTGTTTTCTGTTGAGTTGAAGAACCATGAAAACATCCTGTGACTTTTCTTACCCCGCCATGTTTTAACTT